TTATTATTATTAAATAAACAAGCTTCATAAAGCCAGTCAGGAGGCAACCACCTCTATTTCTAAAAGATTGATTTCTGGTTGGTAGTTTGGCATTCTGACACAAAAGTTTTTAAAAAGTTTTAGACTAGTGTAAGTGTTAAGTCTCAACAGTATGAAGCTATCAGCAGCCACTGCAATATGAGTACAATCCCCAGCCAGAGGCAGCAGACACAGATCCTTGGTTAAATGGTACAGTGGACCTCTCCCGTCTCCCCTGCTACTCCTCTCAGTCAATCCACCTGTTCTGCTCCTGACTCTGTCCCTGGTGAATCCTCTCACACTCCCACACCTCTGGCCAACACCCCATCTTGTATGCATAAATAAATAAATTAATTTTAAAAAACCTTTAAAAGAAGTTTTAGACTTGTGTCTTTGCAAAAGCAATATAATCTCATGGGACTATCTAAAATGCTTAAAGATTCAGGCACAAAGATCTTTCAAACAGAGATTCCTACAATCATAAAATTTGGAAAGTTCTCTTATTAAATTTATGTCTTTCATTCCTTTTCCCTTCCTTTCTTCCTCAACTCCCTTCCTCAATCCCACCTTCTATTCTTCTTGTTTGTGCATATGTGTGTGTTAGCTTTTGTTAAGCCATGTTGAGCATAAGTGTAACAGCAAGTGAGTGAAAATATTTTGGACTTTTTTCTCTAATAACATCTCAGATCATGTAAGAACAGAAAGAAACTTACTTGGGCAAAACTTTCTATTAGAGACACAAAGCAAGTATTATATTTAATGGTAAAATATCAGAAAACCACAGCCACTGTCTATAGTATTTCCTGAGGATATATATTTTTAAGTCTATATTGAGAGTTGTGAGTCTTCCATTTTTGGAAAACATGTTTATGTTCTCTTTTGCATTATTCAGAGTTTTTGGTTGGTGTTATGCCAGTCTCTTAAAATAAATTGAGATGCTATGTAGTTTTTAGATATTCTTAGAAGGTTTTAATAAGAGAGGAAGTACTGGTTTCTTCATAAATTCTTGTCATATCAAAAAAAAAAAAAGGAAATTTCAACACCATATGTGTTGGGGGAAAAGATGTCTTGAACAAACTCCACAAATCGGTTTAATAGACTCCACCCTTACCTCAGACCAAAGAAGTCCAAGACAAGAAGGACTACAAATCCCATAATGCCATCACCACCATAGAAAGGATTGCTGGGAACTGAGCATGGAGTTAAGCAGCCAGGTTTAGTAAATCATCAGACCTGTGGCCTTGGGGAACCTTGATTTTTGCTGCCTTTCAGTGTGCCATTGGGGCTCTAACTTAGTGGAACAGATCAGACACATTCACCAATTTATCTCTCTTTCTTCCTGAGTTATTCTTTTTTTTCATGTCCTCTTTTCTGTAAACGACCCTTTATTAACTTTTTTGTATGTGCCTGTGGCTGAGTCTCATTATAAGTTCCTTTTAAGTACATGGTCAGGTAACTCATTTCACATTGGGGTTCTCCTGTAACATTTGTACCTGAGTCTTGTGCCCTCTGCAGTGGCATGAGTCTGATTTCCTGATTTCATTTTCATTTCTGTTCAAAAGGCTCTGATCAATGCTTCCTTCACATCATACTTTGGTAAAATACATCCTCATACCACGTGCTTCAGCATCCCCTCATTACACTAAGGGTGTATTACTTGAGAGGCCATATATCTATCACACAGCTCCCAAGCCTGCTTGTTTTCTAACTCTTCGTACTAGAATACAAGATGATGTGGGGCGAAAGTTGTTTTTAATTCACTGATAGATTGTGCTGAGACTGATGTCTGAAACAGATTAAGTATTAATAAATATTTTCCAAAAGAATATTTATTCAGGAATAAGACACACATAAAATAATAATAGTAAAAATGGGAATTAATTCCTCTAACTCACTGTGATACCATCCTATATAATCTAGAATAGATGTCTGGTCTTATCTCAGGAATAAGACACACATAAAATAATAATAGTAAAAATGGGAATTAATTCCTCTCACTCAATGTGATACCATCCTATATGATCTAGAACAGATGTCTGGTCTTATCTCAGAATTTCTGTTAGTAATTCTGGGGTAGAACCCAAGAAACTGCAAGTTCTTTTAAACTGCCTCCTGATCTCATGTGGCTAGTCAGAAGACCACACTCTAATGATCATGAGCTTAAAATAAAACTCAGAGCTAAAGAAGTTAATTTTTCTATCACTCAAAGTCATATATTTTAAACAAATGATTTAAATTATTTGTTGAATCAATGTATTTTCTTTCTTTTTACATTTCTCCAAGAATCAGCAATACCTTATCCAAGATTGTACTTTTTAAAATTTATTTCCTATTGGACAGCTAATTGAAAGCTATAACCACAAAGATCTGGTGGATTGATCTGGTATCAGATATCTGAATTAAAGGTAAAAGCCTATAATAAAAGAGCAAATAAGGTAACATTTGACCCTATTATAAACTCATGTTCATGTTCAGAAAGGTCCTAAGCAGTTAGAGGAATATTCTTTCCCACAGGAAGGGGATGTGACTCTAAGAGGTTACTTCCTTCTCAAAACCACCAGCTAGAGTGTTAAAACCAGAAATTCACAGAAATCTCAGGCCACAGTCTTTCTTAGGACTAACAGTGAGTTTTGTTAGTTGTTTATAACACAAAAATCCACTGAGCTGGGCATGGGAGAGATGAACTTAAAAGCAATTTTCAAAATATATGGAGGGAAGTGAAATAATAATGAAATTCTTATTTTAGTATTGAATGAAATAATTTCACTATTGAATGAAAGTGATTCAATATAGAGGTGAAAATTATGTTAATGAATCTTTAAATACAGTAGTACAGAAATAAATTCAAAATAGCATTTTAACTTTGTCTACCCCTTAATTACAATAGCCTCTTGTTCCTAGAATTTCAGGGATGAGCCTTACTATAATAACCGAACAGCATTACACAGAAGGTCTTTTTAAAAAAGAAACACAAACAAACAAAACAAAACAAAACATAAAATTCGCTAATGTATTACCCACAGTGTCCAGAAAGCAGTCATCCCTATTAGCTGTGTTGCTAAGTGACCCTTTAGCATCATTTCTTAAGTCATCTCTGTCTCAACCATAGCCACAGTAGGCCATTAGCCACTTCAGATGCTTCTGCCCTTCTCTCCCTAGTACAATCATCCAACCTCCACACTCCTTGGAAAGATTTTGTTAGTGTTTTTGTTTGTTCACTTTTTTGTATCCATTTTTTGGTACACTCACAAAAAGGAATATGAGATTTTTGAGAAAATTAAAAATTTCAATATTGTCAGAAAGTTCTAGAGATCTGATTTGCAGTTCTTGTTACATGTGGAGAAGGCGACCTAAAGCTTTGCGCTATCATCCCTGAACTCATGGTTCATTAAACTACCCAGGCAGCCAACCGGCTGGAGAGTACAATGGGACAGGACCACGAGTCTAGCCCTGACATATCTGGGCCAAGATGTGGGTATTTCCATGGACTTCCTTACTGTGTGCTGAGAGACACCTGCCAACACTCCTTCCAATCACTGAAAGAATATTGGTAGATTCAATTTTCTTCATTGTCACACATTAATGATTTTTTTTTTTTATTCCTTAGGATTCAAATCAAAATACCCTTTCATTCTAGACTCTAGAAAGACTTAAATTTCTTCCTCTGGGATACCATATTACTTTACTTACAGTCTCATTTTGTTTGGTCTCATAAAACACTATTTTGTATCAATGTATCCCTAAATTGATATTAAGCATCTTTAAATTGGACAAAAGATTATCTTTTATTTCACTTTCCCATAATTTTATGCAATGCTGATCCAGTCTCATCCTAAATCATATATGCTAATGGTTTTATACTATGAGTACCCAAATTATTTATGCCTCACTTTTTTGAAGAAAATTAGACTTTATTATAGAGTATGTGAAACCTATTTTGGTGGATTAATTCCATCTAACCTAGTAGACTTCTTTTGTTGGTATAACATGGAATAAAGTTAAATATAAATAATTGTTTCATTTTTCTATTCCTGTGAAACTATTTTTTTTCCCCAAACTAATCACCCAGCAACAGGGTGAGCTTACTGTAGTATTATTTTAAAATGCAATATGTATTTCTCCCATCTAAGTACTAACCAGGCCCGACCCTGCTTTGCTTCCGAGATCAGATGAAATCTGGAGCGTTCAGGGTAGTATGGCCACAGACGCAATATGTATTTCTAAGGCAATGATTGTTTCTTTTTTTTTTATTTCAAGTTTCATACATGCTGCAGCACACAAAAATGGCTATTCACATGGCATCCCTCCTAATATACCCAGGTCCCAAAATAATATCCCTTCTAAGACAAATATGCTTGTAGAAACTAGATGCCACAAAATAAGAGATATTCTAATACTGTATTGAAAAGGAATTGTTTTGAGCTCTAAGTGCTTAGAGAACAAGTAAATGTAGCTGCCAATAATTTTCAATCAGTTGTTCTATTATTCAGAGAAGTAGATGACAGTATAAGCATCCTCTATTTCATTCAGAAGTAGAGAGGAAACAAAGAAGCTGAGACTAAGGTGGGCTGACTGTTTTAGTAGCAGCATGAATCTGCTGTTTATCAGACACGATTGCAATGTTCCTATTATATAATTGCACAATGATTTTCAATGACTTATGATAAACATATTTGGCAGCAAAATTAAATTTAAAGTTAAGAAAAAAACAAGACTGTGAGCCTCCCTACTGGCCTAGGGGTTAAGTCTCAGGCTATCAAGACTATGGCCTGAGCTGATTCTCCCCTGCCAAGGAAGGTCTGACAGACCTCCCCTTTTCTTGCCCGCTGCTCCCCTCAGCAGTATATTTGAGTAGATCTGTCTGTTACGTTCCTTATCTGTCCTGGTGAATCCTCACATCCCCTCACCTCTGCCTGCCCTCCCCCCCACCAATTCTTATATGCATAAATAAGTTTTAAAAAATAAAAGACCAGTATTCTTACTTGGAGGTAGATCCTGCACTTTGGGAATATAGAAATACTCCCTGAAGTGTCTCAGCTTATCTTCTTCATCAAGGCGCAGGGCGACCCGTTCATCTGTCGGGTGGCATCTAAGCTCAGATGCAATTCGTTGCAATGTGACAGCTGGTAATTCAAGAACTGAAGGTTCCATTATAAGTTGCTGTCTAAAAATGCAAAAAATAGATAGAAGTGATATAACGACCATCATTTCTTTTGTAGAAAATTATTCTACTAGGTAATATTCTGTTTTTTAAAGTAGGATTCCCACTTCTTCAACTTAAGAAGTTGTACAATTAAGTACACAGCATCATACACCATGCTTGATATTTTCTTAAATGTACAATGAAAATAATATAAAATATAAACAGAAAATAATAGTAACACGGGGTCTTCAAAAGACTAGACGTGATGATGATGCTTAAGACAGAGCAAACTCTCAATGTTAGTGTTTTCTATTCTAAAAGATAGAGCAAATTAGTGGCTTAAAATATAACTTCATCATCTTTTTGTCTAGATGTCTTAGTAGGAAGTAATATTAAAGATACTTTTGAGAACATGTAGAAAAATAGTGTCCCAACTCGCTGGTCCTTTTCCTTATTCTATCTCTACTATGTCACCTCAATGATGTAGATCATAGTTTTAAAGCTGTGGACATATATATGTTAGAACCTTAAGAAATTATTTATTGTGAGTGAAAAAGTAACTTCACATTAAAGAATGATAGTAATTTTGGCATGTAGAGGCTAACGAGAAACCTTTCCCCTTTTGTAGCCACTTATGCTGTATGAGGAGAAAGTGCCCTGCATGTTTCTTAAATCCACATCCTACCTCATTTTATCATCACTCAACAACCTTTTTGGAAATATAGTCTTTCTCAAGTAGATAAATGGCACTGGCTACTTTAACATATATTTTTAAGGATAAGTGAGGTTTTACATTTACATTTCCCAAAGTTTTAGTTTTTTTTGTTTTTTTGAAATTGAGGAATAATAGTTTTGGAGAAAAACATCAACTGCTTAGTTTCATTTATACTTTTATACTTCTGAAGACCCAATTTATGTATTACTCATTTATTTATTCTTTCAGTAAATATTTTTGAGCCTTTACCACATACCTCAAGTACTGGGGGAAGAGCAGAGTTTCAAATAGTGTATGAGTAGTGACTATTTCAAAGTTTTACATTTTAATAGAGAATGGAAAATAGTGAACTCATGTAATTTCATGATTTGATAAGTTAACAGGGTAGAATAATAGGATAGTCGCTCGGGTATAGAATAATTACCTTGGGGAATCAAATGCAACTCTCTGAGTCAAGGAAATACTAGCACTTCTGAGTACTGCTGTGAATAAAACATGTGAAGACTTGGACCTGGAGGAAGATGACAGCAAACACAAAGACCCCAATATGCTGCGATGTACTTGGACTGTTCATCTAATCCACTAAGGGAAGTTGGGGAAGGTGAAACTATGACCTGAGAGTAGAGTCAGAAATTCATCATGAAGAACTTTAAAGTTCAGATAATTTTCAAAGGTTAATGAGGAATTATTGGAGAATCATGAAGAGGTTAGAGATATAATTTTACATTAAATAAAAAATCATTTTTCTGGTTCCTGATGAGCTATGAGTTAAGAGAATTAAATTAAGGCTATATAGCTAGAAGTTAAAGGGGAAACTGATGATAGAATAAATGTGGTGAGGGGAAGAACTCGAAGTGATAAGGCCCAGGATCTGATTATAGTCAGGAGCTGTGCACCTGGTAGGCACCTATGGCCCAGCACACCTGGACGCCTTAGTCTCTGCCATGGAGAGGGCTGTGTAGGAGCTGTAGCAGTAGTGGCCTGCTGTGTCTAGGATTAGTAACCGGGCCTAGGTTGAAAAGTTCAAACCATATATGTTGAATGATTTCATTTCTCATGAGGATATTTTGAGTACCATCCAAAAATGTATCACTGAAGACCAACAGTTGCACTTGCTTTTCTATAGCTTTCCAGGGACATTAAAGGCATCGCCCATGTAGTCTGTGCCAAACAGGTATACAAAGATAAAGAAATGGGCCCAGTGGACTCAGAATTGAATGCTTTAGATAATTGAGAATAGATATCCATTGGGGGCTGACCCTTATCTTTGCTAGCACAAGGACAATATTTAAGAAAGGCTTTAAACTACTGATTTTGGATGAAGTTGATGTGATGATTCAAGACACCCAGAATGCCTTGAGCAGAGTGAGTGAATGTATTGAAAATACCAGACTTTACCTCATCTGTAACTAATTGTTCAAGATCATCCAACCAGACAGTGCTAGTGTAAAACAGTTCCATTTCTGTCCCTGACTCCTGAACTCACGTTTCCCTGCCTAGAACATGTTTTGGAAGAGAAAGTTGAAGTGAAAGCAAATTAAAACACTTGTAACTTAACACTGGTTGTCTACACCCACACAGGACACCAACTCATATTTGATATCACCAACTTTCTGGCCTGCATGTTGCATTGAAACTTCTCTACTAACTACAGAAATACTGTGGAATTGAAAACATAAAGGGTTTAGCAATACCTGGTATTCTGAGAGATACACTGCATAAAGTTGACTTTCCACCTTCAGTTTGAATATACTTATGATCAAAAAAGCAAAAATAGAGTACAAATTTTCTATTAACACCAAACATGAAGATTTAGCAGAGTTCACTCATTGCTTTATAAGTCACCAGAGACCTGCTTGTTCCAGAGGTTTAGGTATGGACTCCCTTCATGGCAATTCTCTGGCTTGCCAATGGTAGAGCAGGGGACTTCAATATAGGATGAGGTGCCACCCACACCAGGGGGGATGAAGCCACAATCCGCTCAAGCCTTGGCAAGTGTTCTGGCATATGTGGACAGACATTTAAAAAGTAGGGAATGCACAAACAACTTTTGTGTATGACTATCTGGCACTGCACATTATCGCTTATTGGGAAAAAAAGAAAAGCAAAAACTTTTTTAGACTTCAGGCTATTATTCTTCAATTATTCAGATGACAGGAAAGTGGATTGCCCATTTTGGTCTGGAACATAAGGTTTTCAAATCTATTTTGGTCCAAGAGTCTCCCATCGCCAGGTAAATAAGAGTATCTTCTAATTAACTTTATAAATCTAACCTGTGGTGTTGTCTTTGCGTCTACTCTAAATAAGTGTTAATGGATTTCTGTCCCAAATGATTTTATCCTCATAAAATGGACTCAATTCTTTTACCTTTTTAAAATTGGTCTTTTTTTTTTTTGTCCGTTTGAAGTGCAAGAGTTATTAGCAGGCTCCCACTTATTTGGAAAATTAGAGAAAATTTTATGTATAAATTATGCCACTGGAGCCAATGGTTGTATAAACAACACTTATTTAACCCCGGGAGGGCCCACATGAAATTAAGCCTGACCTTAAACCCACCACACTCTGAGGGGTTAGGACTTATGTACAAATGTACCACATTGCTTTAAAGAAATTATGCTGCATTAATGAGTGTTCTTCAAAATAAAAACAAAGCAGCTTGCTTTTTGGATGTACAAAAAATGTAGTGAGGAAAAGTATTTGTACTTATGGTATTTTTGGCAGAAAATGTGGACAATCTCTCTGAGGACAGGAAAAGAGGTGACTTAAGCTTTGGAATCTAAGCAAAAATGTTAAAAGTGATGATATAAAAAACATTAGGGAAGAGGCCCTCCCTGGTGGCGCAACAGATTAGGATGCAGCACTGCAAGCTAGCTGCAGCCACTTCAGTGCAAGTTCTATCCTAGACCCTGGAAGTGACCCACATGGTGCAGCAGACATCTCCTGTCTTGCTCTCTGCTCCTCTCAGCAGGCACTTCATCCATCTGCCTATTCTGCTCCCCAATCAGTCTCTGGTGAAGTCTCTCACTGCCTTTGCACCTCTGGCTTGTACCCCAGTTCTGTATGCATAAATAAATCTTAAAAAAAAAGTCATGATAAGAAAAAAAATTTAAAAAGAATATTAGGAAAGAAATATTTTGAGAAGGAAGTCACTTTTACGTAGGTATGGTTAAGTATTGAACATTCAGGTAGAATATCGAATTGGCTATTAAATGTATGAGTAATTCAGTATAAAATTGGATGGGGGAAATATAAACTAAACTCTAGAACACCAAGGAAGCAACTAAATAAAACAGAGATAAGGCTCAAGAATCTCAAGTCAATCATCTTGCTTGTACACTCCACTGTCCTTTGTTGGGCAATAAAGAACTGTATGCCTGAGTATTTATTCATTGACTATAAAAGAGACATTCTTATCTCTAATCTTCAATTATTCTGTCAACATACTAGTTGAATAAAAATATATAAAATAATGAATGCACAAAACAAAACAAAAACAAACACTTAGACTTCAAGAGCAAAATAGTGGTTACAAAAAGGTGGTCATTTGTGTGCTGAAAAATTGAAATTTGAGTTTTGGTGACAAGCACAATATATACAGCTGTGTTCACTGATAATTCTGTGTACCTGAAACATTACAGTGGCTTAAACAATGTCACTTCATAAAAAGAGAAGAAAAGGACATACAAAATAGCTCAGTGAATTATTTTGACATAATTGATGACATATTACCAGAGGATTGTCCTTTTTTAATTCAGCCAAATGGGAAATGATTACAGGAACATTTACTATGAGACTCAAAATCAAGAGTTTGCCTTTATTAAGAACTTCTTTTGAAGAGTCAGCACTGTGAGATTTCATGAAGGTAGACTCCAACTGGGTTACCTAAATTAATATAGATTACTTTGCTACCATCATATTCCCAACAACTTAAAGTCTCCTTATTAAAATATATATATATATATATATATATTCCTTCAATAGCCATTTTATATCTGCCCTTTATTTAATACGTGTAACAACCTTGAGGGATTAGAGTCATTTCCACACATTTTAAAACTATATTCTGGAATAAACAGAGCAGAAACAAAGATAGAATTAGGGGAGTGATAGAACTCTCTCAACTTGGAGCTATACTTTGCCTGAGGAGCTGAGTCAAGTGTGCTTGTCTTTGACATGGCATGTGTATAGAAAATCCTTGGCCTGCACTCAAACTTCTTGCTTTATTTTACCTTGCCTTTTACTTCTGAATAATATATAAAACAAACAAACAAACAAAAAAAAAAAAACAACAGCCCATTCCCTTCTTTAAC